TTTCCCTTTTCTTTCTTTCCTACGATACAGAGTCTAAACGATCGAGGACCACCTTGATTGTCTATATATATTAAGCTTGATGCAAGGCTTATCGTTATATATTTAGAAGTAGCAGTTAAGAGAGAATTGAAAATATAGAGATCATATATAAAGAAAAAGAGATGATGGAAACCAAATGGTTGTGGTTGAGTGTGTTGTTGTTGTTGCTGTTAGAAGGATGCAGATGGTATGGTACTGAGGCGTGTTGGGAGGATGAGAGGGATTGCTCTCTGCAACTCAAACCGTTCTTCAATCCTCACAACGATCCTGTACAGCTGGGTTGATGAGATCAAGGGTTCAGATTGCTGTCGATGGGATAGGGTCGAGTGCAAAACCTCCTCCTCCTCCTCAGGAAAGTCATAGACTCTCTCTTAATGATACAAGATGGTCGGACAACGAAAGATGGTATCTTAATGCCTCCTTGTTTCTTCCTTCAGGAACTGAAGCATCTTTATTTGACAGGGAATAACATCGCTGGTTTTGTTGAAAGTGAAGGTCGCTTTTGCCTATTCATCTTCAATTATTCCATTGTTAATTTGCAATATGAAAATTCATTCTTCACTTTTCATTTTACAACTTCATATTTAATTCTAATTTTGTTTTATTGATGAAAGCCACTAAGTCCTTTTTATATATTTAAAAGAACTCTCTTGCAGGTTTTGCAAAGCTAAATTTGGAGATCCTTGATTTAAGTGACAATTACCCTCAATGATACAATTTTGTTATCTTTGAGTGAGCTTTCATCTCTTAAGCATTATATCTAGTGAGCAAACTCCTTCAGAGGATCAAGTCATGCAATCGGTAGGAGTTAAAATTGCTCTAATTATGATTATGAATGATATACAGTAATTAAAAATATTAACTTGTGTTATACAGGTTTCCAATGGCTCTCAAGACTTGGTAATTTGGAAACTCTTGATTTATGGGGCAATTATTTTGAAAAATGATATAGTGTTTCATATGAATGGTCTTTCATCTTTAAAGACTTTAAGATTAAGTGAAAATCACTTGGAAGGAACCGTTCATATTCACGGTAAACTCATTTTACCTCTAATTGATATTAAAGTCAATTGTGTTTCAAGGAAAGCTCTTGCATATTATTTGATTTTAATTACTTGTTGAGGTTGATAGAATTGATAATTTGACAAACTTGAAGAACTTGGATTTAAGCGACAATAGAATTGAAAGCTTCCAACCATCAAAGCAAGGTATAAATATATATTTCAATTCACTGAACTAAAATCTTAATTATGTGATCAGCAAATAAAATTTTTGATTGACTATAGTATATAATAGAATTATATATTCTTGTATAGGAAACGAGACACAACTGAGGTTGACCAATTTGGAGGAACTTGATTTGAGCTATAATCTCTTCAGGAACAATATATTTTCCTTCGTTCAGGGGTTTTCAAGTCTAAAGTCCTTATATATGCAGGGGAACCAATTGCAAGGCTCAATAGATGTTAAAGGTAAAGCTTTTACTACCTTTGTTTTTTTTTTTTTTAATTCTTTTTAAAAGCCTTAAACTCATAAAAAAAAATTTTTTTGCTAAGTCAAAGGTATTTATTAATTAATCAAAAGGGCACAAAGCCAGCATAAAGTTAATTCAGCAAAGCAAATAGATCTATGCATTCAAACCAGACAGACAAAACACCACCCAAAGTATATAACTGAAGACAAAAGTCCTAAAAGTTACACCACCTTATCCATAAGCCAATTACCTCCCGACCAAAGCGAACCATGTGTGTTTTCAATTTCTTGTATTGTAGGCATAGAATCAGTCTCCACTATTACATGCTCTGTACCCTGTTCAAAAGCTAGTTGCAGTCCCCAAAGGATTGCTCTTACCTCTGTATGAAGGGAACTTTCAGTCCAGTCTACTCAAGTCACTGCTGAAAAAACCACGTTACTATTTAAATCTCTAAGAACAGCACCTAGCCCAGCTTCTTGTTCTCTGACCCTATACACTGCATCCACAATGAGCTTTAACATATCCGGTACAGGAGGTTGCCAACTCTATCCTTGGCGTCCTCGAGATCATAGTTTGTTGGGCAACCAATTCTAGCCTTTCCCTCACGCGGGCTGTCTTCACTAATGATTTCCACATAGCACATGTTACTTGATGGAGGCATTTTAATTACAAACATCATATTGTAGTTCTTATTGTGTTAACTATAATATCATAATCTTAATATTATTACGTTTGATTATATAATTACATTAATATTAAGTTAACAAATATTATATTATTTTCAAAATGTGAAATGAAACCCAGTTAAGATGTTAAATGGACCTTTGTCTCTTGGATAGCTGCAGTTGCTAATATTAAAACTTTTGGTTGCAAAATAACATTTCTTGTTCATACTATCTGGTAGGAAAAAAGCTATTAGCTTAAGAATCAAGCTACACATATTAGCCCAAAAAAAAAAAAAATCAAGCTACACCTACTTAAGAAGGAGGATGTCACTTATTATACTGTCAGTCATTTCAATTTTTGATTGGGATAAGAAATTTGAATCCAACCCTATGTAAGATAAAGACAACCAAACCAAGTGCTCAACTATGATACTTATTATTGAAGTGGGAAAATCGATACATGACTGAATTAGAAACAGTCGAGAAACCATTTTGTGGTTTCTTTTCTTTCATTTTTGTTTTCTGAAGTTTCCTAAGTATTTATGTTAATGGATCAAGTCATGCAAATGATAGAGTTAAAATTAATCTAATAGTGATTATGAATGATATATAGTAATTAAAATATTAATCTTCCTTCATTACAGGCTTCTAATGGCTTTCAAGACTCAATGATTTGGAAACTCTTGATTTATGATACATCTCTTTGAAAATTAACGTATGGTTTCATATGAATGGTCTTTTATCTTTAAGGATTTTAAGTTTGATGAAAAATCACTTGGAAGGAACCATTCATATTCACGATAAACTTGCTTTATCTTTCTTTTACGTTCAAATCAATTTTTGTTTCAAGAAAAGGTGTTGTATATCATTTGCTTTTATTTGTAATATTAATTTCTCATTGGCGTTGAATAGGATTAAATAATCTGACAAATTTGAAGAACTTTGATCTAACCTCCAATAGAATTAAAAGCTTCGGACCATCAAAGCAAGGTATAAATATATATATTTCAATTCACTCAACTAAGTTCTTAATTATGTGATCGATGTATAAAATTTCCCATTAACAATGGCATGTAATAGAAATATTCTTCTATAGGAAAGGAGATACAACTAAGGATGACCAATTTGGAGGTTCTTGATTTAAGTAATAATCTCTTCAGGAACGAGACTTTTGCATTCCTTTCTGGCCTTCCAAGTCTAAAGTCTCTGTATATGGAGCACAACCAATTGCAAGGCTCAATAGATATTGGAGGTAAAGATATTACAGCCCCTTTTGTTTATTTTAATTCTGTTTTAGAACCCTTTTGCTCATCAAATAGGTAAAATCTCATATCACATTTGGGGATTTTTCCTCTTCACTTAAAGCTTTAGGTTTGTTTTGCAGTTTACTTCATTATAAAGTCATTAAAAATATTCAGTAAAAGATTATTTGAGTAACCAGGCTAACATAATGATTATTTGAATTGAACTTGGACATAGAATTGAATAATTTGATGAATCTGAAGAAGTTGTATTTATGCTCCAACAAAATTGAAAGCTTTCATTCCTTACAAGGTATGCATTTATATTTGGTCAATTAGTTAAGTTGTTATATATAATTAAATATTATGTAAATCTTTTTTTAGTGATGAAATTATGCAAACCTTATGTAGATAGTGGGAGACAGCTGAACTTGACCCATTTGGAAGAATTTGATTTGAGTTATAATCTCATTAATGACAACATATTTGCATCACTTAGCGGGCTTTCAAATTTGAAGTCTTTGGATGTAAGCTCCAATCAGTTAAATGGATCAATAGATATGAAAGGTAAAATTACTTTTTTACCAAAAATTTTGAATTTGTTAACAAAATCTTAATTCATGTTTCAAGATGACATAACAAATAAGTTCATCTATTTCTTTTCTTTAATGATGAAATTATGTAAATTATTTATAGATATAGGGAGACAGTTAAAATCGACCAATTTCTAAAAGCTTGATTTAAGTCATAATCTAATTAATTATTACTTTTCAACCAAAATTTCAACTCTATTATAAATACTTTAAAAAAATACATTTCATATATTTAGATGATTTAATGAAGTTTATTCATTACTTTTTTTCCAGACTTAGGTGCTTTTACCAACTTAGAGGAACTGGATATGAGTTATAATGATTTGAATGAATTTGTGGGCTGTAAAGGTATGGATTTAAATAAGTTTTCTATTTTTATTTATGAGGTTTATAATGATGTAGATGTTTTAATGACCAAAAAATTTAGCATATTAAAATTTAATGCTCAATTTTTTAAAGGAAGAAATTAATTATTTATTATATGCTTTTTATTACAATGCTACAATTCTCTAACTATAATAAAGAATTATGTAAGAAGATCATTTATAAGTGTGACCTCCACATAAAATTTTGTTAGACCTCATGCAATTTTGAATTGTGATTGCTTAATCGTATTACAATGATTATAGGTGAAATGCTCTTATTAAAATTAATGCCCAATTTTTTAAAGGAAGAAATTCATTGTAATTTGATTACTAATTAGAAAATGATATATATTTGCCTTCGATAATTGCTTTCTTTAAGAAGTGTTGCAACGGCATATCAAATATTTCCCTTTTTGTTTGTGTTAGCTTGTTGTGTCTTAGAGTTGGACTTGTTTGCCTTTTGTCATTCTATTTTAGATTACTACATATTCTTATTACCGTTTAAAAAATTTTGCCTTTTCATGTTACCGTTTTGTTTGATTTTCATCTTTTTGATTGTTTCGTATATTAAAATTTATATTAAAAATATTTAACAATTCAATATTCTTCTCTATTAAAAATTCATTTTGCATTAATCTTGAATATATAATCTTATCAACAAAAATGAAAATTTTCACTCATTTATTTTTTTCATTTACAGAGTATAAGAGTTTGAAAAAGTTAAAAGTTCTTCGTCTAAATCAGGTTTTTACCAATGGAAGCATTCCATTACTACTAAAATTAGTAGAGGCATTCCCATCGGTTAAGACCTTCTATCTACTAGGGAATTACTTAAACAAGACTATGGCTACTCAAGATCAAGGTAAGTCATTAATTTATTCCAAAAGGACTAAAAATTAGTAGATGTTTGTTGATTAACATCTAATAATACCTCCTATGCTATGATTACTTAGAATTGCATGTGTGGAGCAATGTGGAGGAAATATTTCTAGACGGTTCTTATCTCAACAACAACATTTTGCAAAGCATTGGAGTATTCACTTCTCTTAAAACTTTGTCTTTACGTAACTGTGGACTTATGGGTTCCTTACCTAATCAAGGTAAATTAAAGACTTTATAATTTCTCCAATATAACTCATGGAATACATCTATTTCCAATAATCCTTTATTCCATTTCTTTCATCTAATATCTTTTATATATATTCTGTTTTGGAAATCAAAATTTAATTAAAATTTCTTCCATGAATTTATAAAATTTTCAGGTTGGTGTGATCTAAGGAACCTTAAGGGTTTGGATATCAATGGGAATGCACTTAAGGGGATACTTCCTTATTGTATGGGTAACTTGACATCTCTTCTTGAGTTAGATATCTCCAACAATCAATTTACTGGAAATTTGACTCCTTTAGCAAATCTTTCATCACTTAGATTTGTCTCTGTTTCAAGAAATCATTTGCAAATTTCAATGCCATTCTTGTCACTTGCAAACCTTCCAAATCTCAAGTTTCTTTTGGCTGATGAAAACAAGATAGTAATGGAATATAATTCCTTTCATACTTCAATTCCGAAGTTTCAACTAAACATCATCAGTTTGTCAGAGTGTATAACAGACAAAGGACTTAGTCTACAACCTCCTAAGTTCCTTTATTACCAATATGACTTGAGATATGTTGATCTTTCCTATAACAATTTCAGTGGAACAGTCCCATTATGGTTGCTAGAAAACAACACAAAATTAGAAAATCTCTTCTTGTTGGGTAATTCTTTCACTGGTCCTCTCTTGTTACCACATCTTTTTCATCCTAAAGTGTCTTTAATTGACATATCTGAAAACAAATTACAAGGTCAAATTTCGACAAATATATGTTCAACTTTTCCAAATTTGGAATTGTTAGTCTTATCTAAGAATGCCTTTGAAGGTAATATCCCTCCTTGTTTAAGTGGCATGAACACTTTATCATTTTTAGACCTATCGGACAATCATTTATTTGGAAGAGTACCAGAAGAGTTGATCATGAGAAGCTCATTAGAAGTTCTTAGGCTATCAAATAACAACCTAAGTGGAAAGATTGTTCCTTTGATGTTCAACACAAAAGAGTTGTCAAATTTGTATTTGGATGGTAATAATTTTGCTGGAGAGATTCCTGATATTGATGTCTCTACTACTGATTTTTCACATTCATCACTAGTGGATATTGATCTCAGTAATAATAGTTTTAATGGAAAGCTCCCAAGATGGATAGGGAATATATCGCATTTGAAGAGATTGGCTTTGTCAAACAATCATTTTGAAGGTTCTATTCCAATGGAATTTTGCAACTTGTTTGAGCTTGAATTTTTGGAAGTTTCTCAAAACAATTTATCTGGCTCCATTCCTTATTGTTTCAATCCACCATATTTGAGACATGTCCACGTGAAGAGAAACAAACTAAGTGGTCCATTAACACTTACTTTTAATAGCTCTTCATTAGTGACATTAGATCTTAGAGGGAATAATTTAACTGGTAATATTCCAAAATGGATTGGCACATTTTCTGCTTTAAGCGTCCTTCTTTTGAAAGACAATCATCTAGATGGTGGAATTCCAGTTCAATTATGCAAGTTGTATTCATTGAGCATCATAGATCTTTCTGGAAATATGTTTTCTGGTCCTATACCTTCTTGTTTGGGTAACTTAACTCTGGCAATGAAAAAAGATAAGTCATTGATACATGATGGTCAGTATGGAATAGGTATACCTGATGATGCATCAACATACACTGTGATGATAATGCTGAAAACTCGTAGGTACCCTGATAGCTACATGGAAGAATGGATAGAGTTTACAACAAAGAGTGTGTCATATTCATACGGTGGTGACATTCTTGAGTACATGTCTGGGATTGATTTATCTTGTAACAGGTTAACTGGGCAAATCCCACTCGAATTGGGAAACTTAAGTGAAATCCGTTCGTTAAACTTATCACACAATAAGTTGATTGGAGTCATACCTTCATCATTTTCAAAGCTTAAGCAAATCGAGAGTTTGGACCTTTCTTACAACAACTTGACTGGTAGAATCCCTATACAGTTGGTTGAGTTGAACTTCCTGGAGGTTTTCAGCGTGGCACACAACAACTTGTCAGGTAGTACTCCAGACCCAAAAGCTCAGTTTGGGACCTTTAATGAAAGCAGCTACGAGGGAAACCCTCTTCTCTGTGGGCCTCCATTGCAAAATAAATGCTCTAAAACTGAGTCACCACTAACAGTACCGACTACAACAGACAATGAAGGAGAAGGTAGTTTCATGGACACATATGTTTTTTGTGTGAGCTTTCTGGTTTCATATGTAATTGTTTTATTGGGAATTTTTGTTGTTCTATACATAAATCCATATTGGCGACAAGCATGGTTTTCTTTCATTGAGAGTTGCATCACTACCTTTCGCTACTCAATTGTGGGCAATTTTCTTGAGTTATACATCTTCAGAAGATGTGCCTAGGTATCATGGGAGCTCTTATGATTTGCCTTTTATTTGAATGTGGTGAAGATTTGGATAAAGTTGATTTTGTTGTCAGAAGAAGTTTGGTGATTTGATCTTTTTAAATGGGGGATTTCTTTTAGCTGACTGTTCTGTTAAAATAGTTTTAGGAAGAGTTATGGATTTTGCACTTTCAACAGAGCTTTATGTCTCTGTCGAAACTCTGTTTTGGGTATTTGTTTTGTTTTGAAGAAAGCCTGTAGCTTTGTGTCTTGTTGATTTTATTTTCTACACAAATATTCAATTCTCTATTCTCCATCATCTACAAGTTATTATTAATATCTTTTCCAAGTTATTATTCAAATTGGCAAATTTTTCCTCATTAGTTTTGGCTTAGTTTTGAGCTTCTAGTAAATGATTTCTGGCATAAATTGCAGCGAAGGCAAAGATTGCTGGCTATGGCCTACCAAGAACTTTCTAAAGTTGTATTGGTTGGATTCATTTGTTTTAACCAGATTTTATATCGATCGTAAAAAGCTTTTTCAATTTATTTTCTTTGATGCTTAAAAAATTAGATTTTAAACAAAAACAATACTAATTCTATCATATTAAAGTAATATGAAATATTCAAGAATGTGTTTTTTTTTTTTTTCAATTTCTCATTTCTAGCTCTTTTATAGAGGTTTTATTTTTATTTAAAATTACTTAATATTTGTTGTCTTTCGAAAATTAGTGTTAGTTTATAAAATGGACCAAATAAGCATTGACTGTTGAAAATATCATTTTGATCGCGAAATGCAATTATTTTCTTTTATAGGGTTACAAATTATTGCAAAATTAAAAAATTAGGTTTATATATCTCATACACATGCAAATCCTATCAACTAAATAAATTAAATGTAGAATCTTCCAAAGCAACAATGAGATCATGACTTAGTAGTTATGTTATAAAGGGTGTTAACCAATGAGAACATGACTTAGTAGTTATATTATAATTTATTAGTTAATTATTCAGTAATTGTAATTTGATTATGATATAATAATTGATTATTCAGTTAATTATATGAATGTAATACTTGATTATGATTATAATAATTAAAAAAACTAGAATTTTTGAATCCATTCTTTGCATGGTTAATTTTTATTTTTAAAAAAAGCTTAAATAATATATACCATATAAATAATGATTTCAAAAGTTCAAAGAGTTTCTCTTTAAAAAAACAACCCTCATACTACTTTATTCAAAAATTAAAAATAAAAAATAAATTTAAAAAACATAAAAAAATAATAAAAATAAAACAGCAAAGGTATCAAAGGAAAAAACAATTTAAAAAAAAAAAGAATAACCTCATATCTAACTATAGCATTTACATGAAAGAAAATGAAATAATGGAGTAAAATCCTCATCCTCTTTCACCACAAAGAACTTATGTGTAAATTTGATCACATATAAACCAATAAATAATCATAAAATAAGTACACCAGGTCTACAAATAATTAATAATTGGTATACAAAGATTACAAAAAATTAAACACATTTAATTATTTCTAATAAAATTGAATTATATTAATTTTTTAAAAAATTTTATTTTTAAATCATTGATTAATGGAGAATGAGAAAAGATTAAAATTAATCTATACCTTACTACTATGGATCCAGAACACCAACTTCACATTTGTAAATTGAATTACTTAATTTCATTTAATGACACTTGTCCTAAAAAATTATATAGGGTTTGCATTTATGAAGTATCGATTGGAAACTATGGCTGTAGTCAGGGGCGTAGAAATGAATATATATATATATATATATATTCATAGAATTTTTTGGTTTTTTTCTACATTGAGCCAACTAAATTTAAATAAAAATAAAAATAACTAAAAAATAAAAACTATATATATTCATAGAAATTTTTGGTTTTTTTTTCCTACATTGATTCCACTAAATTTAAATAAAAATAAAAATAATGAAAATAAAATTTTATCTATTTTATACAACAAAATACAAGTAAAATGACTAAAAAAAATCAAATCTATTATACTATAATAGTTGTCCAATTATGTACATGGATACACTCAAACAACTATATATAGAGATTAGCAATTATAAAATAATGTTATTCAATTTTTTTCTAATAATGGGATAAGATATATCTAAACTTATCATTTATATTTTAGATTTGGGGAACGGGGATTAGGTAGGGTTAAATTAATGTTAGAGGGGTTTATCATTTATAATTGTTTCAAAAATATAATCTATTTATATATTGTTGAATTATATAAAAAGTGCTAATAATCTTACAGTCATTTGGTAGTTAATATAGCATTAAACTCCTAATTTTTATGATCATAATTTTATTCTTGACATATTCAAATATAAAAAAATTAAGGGTTCAAATTTATATTAGAATGATCATTGATAAGTATTATACCCTTACCAACATCAAGTCAATATTGATTTTAAATCTTAGCACTAATTAACTTATTTAAAAATAACTAATTAAAATAAAATTAAAAAAAATAGGACAACCTAAATCGTTTTCTCAAATCTTCATCTAAAAGTTGATAACAACCTAAGATAAAAAGTTAATCAACTATCTCAAAAAAAAAAAAAAAAAACTCCCAATGAAGATTTGATTCCATTCTCTTTTGTTCTTTGCCATAGATGGCTGTAAACTTCTAGCAAAAAATGATAAATATTTATGGAAGAGATATCAGTGCGGTGATGTTCTTAGAGACTGCGAGAGGAATATTAGAGGTTTGTTTTATGGCCCTCTTGGTGATCAGGAGTCAAATACTGCAGAAGCTTTGGCCATTAAGATTGCACTTCAAATGTTTCTTCTTCACCTTGGCTGGGAAAGGGAGCTCTAGTTTTGAAACCGGATTCAAAAGTAGCGGTGAGTTTGATATTTGCGGAAACTGATAGGCTACTGGAAATCATAGGAGAGGTTAAGTTTGTACACATTTTTAAAGAAGCCAATTACTTTGCTGATTCATTGGCAAGGAAGGGGGTACAGTCTTAGTTTGTTTTAAGCATGGCTGTAATATGATAATATTTCCTGTGGTGAATAGGTAGTTTCTGGAAATATTGTTATCAGGTGTAAAGACTGTTTCTGATCAATAAAATTGTGTTAACTGAGAAAAAAAAAAACGAAGAGAAGTTTTCAATACATTCTTGATTAAAAGCCTAAAGCCTAATCTAAAAGAGGTAATTTTTAATCAAAATTAATGAAAAAATTGAGAAGATGAGAAAAGAGAGGAGAAATTGCTAGAGCTTCTTTATTTTTTCATTAAAGCCCTAATTCATTTTTTTTTTTCAATTAATGGTTAGTTATTACTTGTTAAATATGTTAATTAAGGAGAAAGGTTATTATGGATTAGTTTGGTTTCACTTTCATACATAAATAGGTTAGTTAAGGATTAAAGGCTATTATGGATTAATTTGGTTTTGCTCTCATAGAAGCGTGATATTAGTTTCAATCTTTTAAAAAAATATAATGTGGTATTTTATTATTGATTTTCAAAAATTTACTTCTAGGATCATTATGATGTTAGTGAAACCCAAAAAAATATGTAGTATAAATTTTTTACATATAATTAAATATTATATGACTTCTTATTAAAAATTTTTTTTATTTGGCTTTGATTTAAGGGATTTCTTTTCGAGCCATTGCTAAGAAACATGGACATTTCGTGAGGAATTGAGAGTGCCACCTAATACATCCTTCATGGCAAATAAAGAAAACAACCAATGCTTTTTTTTTTCTTCTTTTCCTTTTTGCTATTTTTTCACAAATTTTGGATTGCCATTTTTGTTTAATTTGGACTTAGAAAGCCCCAAAATAATTTGGATTGCCTTTCCTTTTCTTTTTCCTTTTAAGATTTTACTCCCTTTTTCTTTTTGTATTTTTGTAAAAATTTGTTTGCCGATGAACTTGTATCTTTAAAAATAAACTTAAATTGTTAGAAGGAAATAAAATTTTTTGAAAAAAAATTACCTTTAGATTTTGCAAACAAGTTTAGATTTAAGTAATTTTTAATGACTTGCCTTTAGTTTTTTTCGTTTTGATTTGCTAGAATTTGAGACATCCACTATGTGGGTGAAAAATAATGTATAGAAAATAAATTTGTAAAAAAAGTGTATGCAGGTATATATATTTTTTAAAGCGGATAGGCGTATGTGTCTTTTAATTTATACGTGAAGCTTATCAATAAGCTCTCCTTTTTATGGATGTTTCTTCAAAGTTTTTTTTCATAGCCATAGTAGGGTGGGTTTTATCATATGTGTTTACATCATGAAGTGTTGGGTACTTGGGTGTAATTGTTCTCTGGTATAGTACCTTGATATTAGGTTCTTTGTTATAGTGTTCACATTTGGGTTCTCTTTAATGTGTCATGTGGGTTGTACTGGTGTATGGATCTTTTTTTTTTCTAGCTACAGCTAGCCTCGTAACCTTTGAGTTACATTAATAAATTGTGGCTTACCAGAAAAACGTATTTTTTTATTTTTTAATTTTAAAATTTTTTTATATTTTTATTTATTTTTATCAATTCACTCAACTGAACTTGTGTCATTAGACTCATAACATCAAATTTAACCAAAAATTTTATATTAGCATTAGACTTTTGACACACTGAAAAAATTGTTGCTTTGAACAAAATTGTGTTTTGAAAAAAATAATATGTAAAAAAAGATGAGTAATTTTTTAAAGTGAAAACATATTAGTATCTTTTATTTAAATTTTTTATAATAAGTTTTTTGCCAATTCACCCAACTAGCTGGTATTACTTGAGACATCAAATTCAATTGGGAGTGTATGACTATAAATATCTATATCTATATCTATACTAATATTAAAGGGATGTTATGTCGATCAATTCAAGGAACTGATGTAAATGCAGCAAAGATTAGGACTTTCATGTGACGGGTTTGTCACGGTATTATACAGGTAATGGTTAATTTGGCTAGAAGGCAGATTCCAGTGGAGAAAACTTGCTTGCGGTGCAGGGTGGTGAATGTCCTTTGGCAACATTAGTATGGGAATACCTAAACCATTAGTGGGAGTACGATAATAAAGTGCAGCAAGAGAGTACAGGTTGGTTCCCTAAGATGATTATGAAACTTAAGTATGAACAATTCCAATTGTTTGCGATAGCATGATGGATAATATGGAACGATCGAAATAATGAGGTTCATAGAGAGCAAAGGAGTTTACTCGCATCAGCAACATTCATCAAAACTTTCTTGCTGGAATTCAACCAAGCTCAGCAGAAACAGATCATAATGCAGCAAAAGCCAAATGGGTATCTCAAAAATGGAAACTCTCAATTAGTGATTGCTATAAAGTAAACTTCGATGGGGCCTCGACGGAAAGCGAGAACTGGATGGAATAGGAGTGATTATATGAGATAGTGAAGGGATTATAATATGTGCACACACAGCCAACTTGCCAAAAATAACAAACTCGTTTGTTATAGAGGTCCTAGCTGCAGTTCGAGTGATCGACTTTGCTTTGGAAATGGGATTTAGAGAAATTGAGCCAGAAGTTGATGCTTTAACAGTGG